CCTGTATATATATGTATACATATATATCTGGTTCAAAAGTACGTGGTCCTATGTGACCCCCAGTAGCGCTGATGAAAAATTGCGGCCCCCTTCATCAATTAAGCTGTCCATCCCTGACACCGGTGGAGAAAGTGGCAAAAGTCATTTGACATGCAATCACACACTACCATTATTCCCGGACGGAAATAGAATGTGTGAGTAATCCGCGCGGGAGATCCAGTAATCTTATAATCCCTCCACCATAATGTAGTAATGGTCTCTCCAAGCTTATCTAAACTAATTTTCCCGGTGGAATACAATCTCACAGAACCGATGGTGTAGGAAGAGAAGCAGCCCTCAGATCAAAGGCAATGCGGCAATCTTCCTTGTTGGAGCTTTAGTTTATTTAAAAAAAAAACAAATAACACAGACACGCATACTCCCAATTAATTCAATTCCCTCCTGTACAAAATAAATTAAAAAGACAATCCCATGAGCTGCGAGCACCTATTGGTTGACCAAGGAGGAGGAAGAGGAAGCGACGCGAGGCGAGTGGATCAGTTGCAGGAACTCGGCGGTGAAAACGGCCTCGGCGCACTCCTCCATCACGTCCTGGAATTCAGCCGCCACGTCACCGGCCGCGTCCCACAACAACTCGTCTGCCAGGCTGCAGCACGACAAAGGAGACGATGACATAGAGACACACGCACCTCTTGGCAACTGCCTTGACCAGTTTTTGTCTTTTTGTAAATTTTGGAGTGACATCCAGGTCTTGATAATGTCACTGCTGTAGTATGGTAAATTTAATTCCTTGGAAACTCTATTGTCCCTTTCCCATGACTGATATCCTTGAGCAATGAGGTCTCTCTGACGCTGCAGACCTTGGCTTGTGCTCTAAGGTGTGATGAAAAAATGTCAGGAAATATCTAACTCATCAGCCGAACTTTCTTTGGGGTTAATCAGGGACAATTTAAATGATGGCGGGTGTGTGCTGACTCACATTTCACATGAATTTGAATGTGACTGATTAATTTTGATCACTGCCACATACCCCCTAATAAGAGGATGTGCACACTTGGGCAACCACATTATCTCAGTTTTTAATTTTATGTTCTCTCTGTAAAAGATTTGATGTCCTTTTCAGATGAGTTTTACAGCCCTGCATTAATGATTGAAAGCTTTACAATTATTATTTTATTTTGGTTTAATCATAATTATATAAGATGAATCGAAAATTGATATGCCCGCAAGCTGCATGTATGTAAAATAGCACGCCTAAAATGAGCTTCCAGATTCTTGTTTGCCTGAGCACCGCGCCGAGGTGAGTGCTTGTGAATATTCATAAAGTCAAAGAAATAAGCAAGTAAACAAGTGTTTTGTGCGGCTGAGCCGCAGGCAGATGTGACGTACTGACAGTGTTGAAGTGTTTCTGCAAATTAAGCGCAACGCGGGGCACAGATGTGTCTTTCCAAACATTAGCGGGGGGACGCATAAAATGGATTCATTGGTCTGTTTGCGCTCCAACGCAAACTGACTATAAAACCATATGAGGAATCTTTGAGGACATGTAAATGCAAGAGTGGGTGAAAGAGCGCGAGAGTGAACTATAAAAATCTGCTTCATCCGCTTTGGGACTGACAATGCCATGTCATCAACATACACATTCGGCAGTGCAGTTTAGTACAAGTCTAACTGGGATAACCACACACAGGGTTTTCGCTAAGCACAGAGAAGGAGGGTCTGAAAGAAAATATGCAAATATGTGTCACAGGTTGGATTTATACTGCAGGGCAAGTGTGCAAATCCCCATTTCATGTCGACATCCCATTTTTGGGACTGGCTACTTCCAAAGACCATGTGAGTAACTCCACAAGCATTAACGGTGGGTAGTGACGATACAGAAGTAAAGAATAACACACAAACCAGACAAATATTAAACATGATACACTACTCCCAAAAGGTTTGGCATTCAGTTTCGGCTTTCGGGTGAAATTTCAGGACGAGCCTAAAATGCATTCAAGCCGTAACAGGTGAACTTAATGTGACCTTCTCTCAGCTTTTAAATGCACATGTCCAACTGTTAAATGTCTCAGTACTTTTTGCACAAGATGCTGTTTTGTAAGGAGGATCTTAACGGCAAAATTCACAACAGGCATTTGATCCTTGAATCGACCAAGGAATGTCCTGTTTCAATTAGAGATAGTGTTGAAACAGCCATCCGCACCATGTTGTTCGCGTTTTGACATCTTGAGACCAAGACGACACCTCACAATGGATCAACAGTACCTTACCATTGTAATGCTACAAACAGGTCGTTCTCAGACAGAAATAGCCACTGAGCTTAGACTGTCACAGAGTGTCATCAGCACATTACAACAGAGATACTGAGAAACGGGAAGAGTCACAGAAAGATGTCGAAGTGGACGTCCTTTGGTCACATCCCATGCTGATGATCGTGAACAATGCCCTGAGAAATCGGATAATGAATGCCACTCAACTCCAGGCACGTTTAAGGGAGGTGGGGGGCACCCAAGTGTCACGTCAGACCATTCGAAACCGTTTACATTAGGGGTGGCCAACCCGCGGCTGTTTGGCTGGTTCAACGGGGCTCTCGGGCTTTCAAGCGTTGAAAATGCCTCGGCGGTGGCGCTGCCATTCAAACAACGGCGCTAAGTATAGCAGAATTTACGATGTCAGTCTATCATGAATCCCGTTACTTGATTGACATACAGGGCAACCAGTCAGATGACAGATGAATTCTGACCATTAGGTCACCACTCATGCGCAAACAACGGCGCTTAGCTAATCAGCGAATTACCTCTGATTTTAAGGCAGGTGTGCCCAATACGTCGATCGCGATCGACCGGGAGCCAGTGGACTGTTCCCTGGTCGAAAAACTTTGGCGGCCCCTGCCCTATGTTGCAAGCTAGGCACCCTAGGACTAAGTAACCGCTGTAGCTCGCATCCAGACAGTGCCTGCTTCAAGCCAGATTTGAAGAGGATTGTTCAAGAGAAGGAATGCCAGAAGTTCCTGCACTAAGCCGCTAAGCAACATGCATAGTAAGAGAAAATTATTATATTTTGGTTGGTGGACTTGGTTGAACAGGGTTTGTGTGTGTGAGGCAGTGCACACAATATTCATTGGCCTGTGGTCTTCGTACTGTAGGAGTCAATTCCTGTCATTATCATGTCGGTGTGTGACATTTACAATAAATGTGGCTGAGCAGAGGTCTGTGTGTGTCTGTGTGTGTGCGCGTGTGTGTGTGAGAGGAAGGGATGGGGTGATGTTTATGTGCGCCCATGTGTATAATGTGGCTCTTTGCAGTAACACAGTAAAAAAAAAAATGGCTCTTAGTCTCTGACTGCATGGCCACCCCAGGTTTACATCAGAGTGTTCCGCATGCTAGACGACCTGCAAGGGTACCTGACCACACCACCAGGCACAGGCGTCATCATCTGGCATGAGCCAGGGAGCATTTACGCTGGACGAGGGACCAGTGGACCTCATTGCTGTTCTCTGATCAAAGTCGATTCATGTTGAGCAAAAATGGATGCCTGCCGAAATGTGCCCACTACATATGACCTCTCATGAGCCAATTTCAGAGGTTTGCAACCAGAAGCTTACTACAAAGGCATAAAAAAGCATTTGCGAGTCTTGTTACCTGTCTGCGATGGACCAGAAGTTGACATCGCCATTCCCGCTCTCATTAGCCGCACGGTGTAGATATGAATCAAAGTCGTCACGGTAGTGTCGAATGCTTCTCAGCATGCTGCCGGGCACGCTGATGACCGTCCTCACCGCGCCACCCTCCTTGGGACCGGGGAATATCGGAAGGCCGTCTTCCTGGGATGCCTCCTCCATGAGGCTGCTCTCTGAGACGACTCTTTAATGAGACGAAACAAGAAGATGCTTGTGTGTGATGATGGCTTTTCTTCACCCTGAATTTTTCCACAGGAAGTGGGCAAACTTTTTTGCGCAATGGCCATGCCCCTCCCCCCCAGATTTAGACAGTGCGAGCTAGGTCAATTTACTCAGGGGTGGTGTTGTCTGAAGTCACGGTAATGAATTTGTAAAGCGACGGTTTGCAGAGGGCTCAGCTGGGCATAGCTGAGCGCTTTCTAATCCTCCCTACTTGGACGGATCGGCCTGCTTCTTGTGCTCTCTGAGCTATATTTAGTGTTGCGACAGTTCCGACACACACGCCTTTATCAAGAACCACTTGTGCTCCTAAAGAACTGACTTGTGGCCCAAAACATCCTCAAATTTGCTTCATCACATCAATTCTCCGCCCCCAACATTCGCAGGGTTTTTTTTGCTGGTTGTCTTTCCATTTAAGAAAGGGGAATGGGGTTAAGTGTTGATGCACGGATGGCGCAACACCGGGGCTTGGGCCCACCTAGAAAAACATCCTGGAGCCATCCCTGAGTAGATGCGTACTCAATGCAATTTCTTCTCTCAGGAATACGCTAGAAAGACATCTTTTGGTGCTTGACAGGCATATAAAAACAAACTCCACAAGTTTTGAATCATATTTTTCATGATAGACACTCACGAGTAGAGTCTCAACATTGATTCAAGGATGTGTCAATAAAGGAAGACTGAGGCAGAACTAAGACAAAGATAGCTTCAAGATAGGATAGCTCACAAATGGACTGCTGAGCTTTGGAAGAGTTGAAAAAAAATCAATGCTGAGGTAAAAAAAAAAGAAAAAAAAAGGTGTTGTGGTGTGAGGTGATTATTTCAGCAGTCTTTGACATTGACAAACACTTTAATGCTTGGCAATCAATGATGTCCTGAAGTAATTGTGTTGGAGTGGAGAGCACATTTTCTGGAACTGCAGCCCGTCAAACAAGAGAGGCGAGGGGATTAAAATAAAAGAAAGAAAGAATGCATGAAAGGTTTGGAAGATTACTGAGTGGGTCTTTCATCTTTCTATTGGTTATGATGGAAGATGCCTAGGGCCAGCCGGGGTGGCGGCCTGACCGGCGTCTGCGTCTCGACTCTTCACCATGGATACATAAATCTTATCTTGCACCATGAAATCGCTCATGATTCTATCAGTGGCCATGTGGAGTCATTGTTCTAGGTCGCTCCTTGCAAGAAAGAGGACCGACTGTACACACCGGACAGAAGGAATACAGGGGCTTTGACTAATACAGTCCGATTCCTTCCTCTTGAGGAACAAAGCATTCTGACGTGTCCTGATGAATGGATACTGGATATGCCAAATGTCTAATCGAGGTCGTCATATTTGAACACTAAATTAGACAGGCGAAGGCTTAAATAGCGGCAATTTGCAGCCTGTCAAAGTCAACAACTAAACACTTTCTGCATTTATCTCACCCCTAATGACTCCCCCATGTTCAACTTATTTGCCTTGGAGGGAGCTGGGCACGCACTGCACTTGGGAGGGACCAAGTTGCTTCATGCACATTGTATGACTTGAGAGCACCTCTGCTCCTGTTCTCCAGTCAATACAAGTGTCATCTATTTCAGTCAGTCCTTCTGGTAAGACTTGAGAATGATGCTAATGTAATAGCACTTAGGAGTGCTAAGTGGTATATATAAAAAGAGAACATCTATCCATTTTCAGATCTGCTTTTCCTCACAAGGATCGCGGGGTGTGCTGAAGCCTATCCCAGCCGTCTACAGGCAGTAGGCGGGGTACACCCTAAACTGGTTGCCAGCCAATCGTAGGGCACACATAGACAAACAACCATCCGCGCTCACACTCACACCCAGGGACAATTTAGAGTGTCCCATTAACCTGGCATGCATGTTTTTGGAATATGGGAGGAAACCAGAGTACCCGGAGAAAACCCACGCAGGCACGGGGAGAGCATGCAAACTCCACACAGGGGGTCTGGAGCCAGAATCGAACTCTGCACCTCTGTACTGTGAGGCCGACGCGCTAACCAGTCGACCGCCGAGGCCGCCAGAGAACATCAAATATCACATACTATGAAGATGTGTGGGGCGTCCCGGCGGTCGACTGGTTAGCGCGTCGACCTAACAGTGCAGAGGTGTAGGGTTCGATTCCGACTGTCGTTTATAAAGCACATAGTGCTAGCTAAGTTAGGTGGCAAAGGACACACCTAAACTTCGATATTTATTTACTTGATTTATACAGGAAGGATTTAACTTGACAGGCGTTGCACCTTCTGTGTGTGCAATCTGACAGGCAGATGCAGAGGTGGACCACCTTTACTGTATGTGCTGGTGGGAGCATCAAAACATGCAGTCACCCTGTGCGACCAGACGACATTTTCACTAGCACACACGTAAAACAGGGTAGGATTTGCGAGTATAATAACCGCACTTTCAAGCCCTGAAGAAGGGAGGCCTCCTCCTGGGAAAGCACTTACTTTGACACTTCACCAGGAACAAAGCGGAGTGCTGTAGGAAAAAAAAAAACATTTCATCCAGTCTCGAGGCCTAATTATGGAAAATAGCCAATGGCCTCCTGTAGTCATTTGCACACGCATTTGTCCCTCAAGCTACAATCTACACTACAAAAAGCCCATTTTTGTCCTCAAATGCAACCGCTTGTAGCATCTGTGCTCATCATGCATGTACATCTTCTTGGTTGCTAAAACGGCTGTATCATTGAAATGGATAAAAAGAAGAGACAAATGACAGCAGAATACAGAAAAAGATAAAAGGACATACAAACCCACCCTATTTCTACGGGTTCACCCAGAACAATATCAGCGGCCGCAGGCTGGCTTGGCATTCGCTTGGTCATTCTAATTGGTTGTGGAGAGCTTGGCCTCGAGCCTGGAACCTCGACCTGAGAGCCTGGGAAGAACAGCAAGAGGTCGAAGGTGGAGGAGGAGGTGAGTGTGAAGAAATAATTGGATATGGTTACCACCGTAACACGTTCTCCATCTAGAGGACATGTGAGGGAAACTTAAGGGCATCCTCACACTAGGCCATTCTCCATGAATTATTTCCAAACTGTTCTGTTTATTTCTAGTATGCAAAGTGGCGGTTATCCTCAATAACTGCTGAGGGAAGCAATGGCATTATTCACACGACACATTCATTCCACTTGCGCTTGTGACCGATCTTGCCATGGAGGTTTTTTTGACTGTAGTTTATTTCAAGAGGTTATGTGTATTTCTTAAGTGCAAGCTGATGGTTTTCATGAGTATCTGACAGGAGGACCAATCACAATGTGCTCAGTGTCATGAGTAAATGTGTGACTATCTGTGCCGTGGGCTATTTTTTTCAACTATGTGGAAGATTTGGAGTCATTCTGATTATTGCTGTCATGCAAGTGGTGGTTATTATTAAGTGGTGAGAAAAGCAATCGCATTAATCATATGACACAGCTGCATGTGAATGTGCGCATGTGCATGTGTGCGACAAATGTGGATTTTATCACTCTGTTGATTGTTTCTGGCCCACCTTTTCCAATCATGCCAGAGGAGGGGGAGTGTACTTTCTTGAGCATGCAGAAGAACACTCAAACCAAGATGAGTTTAGGTGTCGAGTAGACCGACACATGGCCCAGGTTGAGCTCGCCCTAATTGCCTGAGCGCAGTTAATAGAGCGTTTAAAATGCTTGTGCATGATGAGATGATGAGTACCTGCTGGCTGCTCCCATTGATGAGCATCTGAGTAGGCGATCGAGGCGATTCGTCTCCTCACTTGCTCATGGTCCCTCTGCTCCGAAATACATTCGGTAAAGACATTGAGCCTCTCCGCCGCAAGCAGTAGGGCGTTTCCACGGCGACCTTTACCTGTATCTCCTCCATGCGCTGCAGCATTCCCTCGAGGGTGGGGGCTTGCAGAACCCGCAGCGCTGCCTCCTCTAAGTGATCTTCCGGAAGGAACCCGCCCGCCTCCTCGCCTCGCTCGGCCACCTGAGAAACGTGAACAATTAAGGGAATTGAATTTAAGTGCATCTGAGGTTTGTTTAATTGCCCAGCTAAAAATAGCCTTTATAGTTCACCCTCATTGCAGCCTGCTCTGACAGCTTATTCCTCAGCGGCAAGTCACTCCTGCTCCAGGACTCTCCGATATGCTGAGGTAAACACACAAATGAAGATAATTGGCACTTCAAACGCGGTTACAAAAGCCCAAAACACACACCGAGACACACCGAATCGTTGAATAATGCATCATAGCGCGTCATAGCAAGCCAAAGATAACACAAAATATGTCCCCTGAGGAACTGTGAACCGAAACGGGCGATGAGATCAGACCCACTTCCGAGGAGTCCTGAATGCACTTGAAGATCCTTTGAGATTGGCACGCCACTGTTATTTGTCAACATGATCTTGTCTTTGATGTTCAAGTGGGAAAACCCTATGTTCTAGCATCATTTTTACCAAGCAATACAAATGCTGTTATGTACCATATGCATGTGTGTCTGAATCATCGAGTCCCACAATTTAGTTGCCTTATGAAGGCCTAATGGTAACAGAAGAGACGCAACAGGCACATTCATTTGACCTTTGGGGGTGAAAAAGTCCAGTGATTATACTGTTAATTATGTGGGGGGCGAAATAACACAACCCGATTCACATTTTGTCTTTTAATTGCATTTCAATCGGTTGAGAAATGGTGACACTCTTAACCACCTTTCAAATATTTTGTGTCTAGCGTTTTTGTTGTTTAGTTTTTGTTCCAGAAGAACCTGAGTGAGACTTTCGCTCTGCAATCACTCAGCTAATTTATTCACGCATGAAAGTAAACAAAGGCAGCTGACAAATCAAGATTGAGGTTGCCGCCAAGGCCTTGAATCTAGATATGCACACTTAAGAGTTTAATCTGAGAAAAAGGGGATGTAAGATGAAAATTTTATTTTTTAAGGTTTTCTTTGCAAAACAGTTGTGTCTCAGGAGGGCCTGTCCACCCATCAAGTGTGAAATTAGACAACCAAGTAACGCTGCTGGTTTATTAAACAGTTAGATAACAGTGGGGCTAATGTGCATAACAACCACTCGAACGTTTCCATGACATGACCTCGGCTGGTCGAAAAGAAAGCGTGGATGGGGGCTTTTGTGTGCCCATGTGCTAGAAAAACACTATCATTGTCCTGCTTGCTTGCATTATTGGGCTCTGCTAGTACAAAGCAAGAAGCTGGGCGCTATGAACATCCATCGTTTGAGATGGCCAATTGCTAGCAGGAAGGATCCAGCTCGCTGGTGGTCAATCAAACGAAAGCTGGGCTCACCATTGGCCCAGCAGTAAGCAGGGTTCGGATAAGAGCTAGCTCACTCCATGAGACAGCTCTACCCCAAAAATGAATTTCACCAGGGCAAGAAGTACACAGTAAAAATGTCTCCATATCATTATCTTTGGGGTACTGTGACGTTCGCATGTCCCAGATGTGTTTTATAAAGACACCTGGGGCCTCATACACAAAAGGTGCATACGCATAAAAATGGGGCATACGCACTTTTCTACACTCACGTTCAGATGTATCAAGAGTGAAATGACCATGGAAATGTGCGGTGCTCCAAGGCAACTAGTTGGCTGGCCTACATGTTTTTCTTGCTTTAGAGCCATGGAGAGACATAGAGATGATGCTGGGCAGTAGCGGGCGGGTGCAGTGGCGCGTGAAGGAACAATATATGCCCGGGGTGAATGGACAGTTTCAATGCCCCTGAAAACTTTTTCTGTTGACGGGCTGTCGCAGGGGGCGTTTTGACTATTGCAACGTCCACCCAACTCGGGGATCGAACTCATGCGGCCACCACTTCTCCGCTGAGCTAAAAGTCCAGGCTGCCATCACTGCTCAGCACCCAATTAGAAGTTAATAACTCAGTTAAATGTTAAACTGTGAAAAAGATGAAAAATAATGTCTACACGAGACATACAGTGTGATATCGCGCTCACCTTGGCCTCATCTAGAAGCGGTCCGATTCTCTCTCGCACCTGCTGCTCAGCCCTTTCAGCCCACTGAGTCGGCGAGACAACCTCGGCCCTGTATACCAAAACAGTTTATTAGTTTCATTTGTATCCAGTTGTGAGCATGTGCTCTCTTCCTCTGAGGTCGCAATCAGGCCAGATCTGCATGCATTTGCCCGCTGCCTTTACCCGTACCTCAGTCGTTCAATGCGTTCGGCCTCCACTCGTGTCAGCTGGTTAAGGTCCTTTAGTCGTTCCGCGGTGAGCTTGTCCAACCATGCGGCTCTGTGGTGAACAAAATGTTGTGTGTTCAGCATTTTGTCATAATAAGACTGACAAAACCCAATTTGGTGGCTCCTAAGAGAACCAGTGAAGACATAGGGAGAAGTGTGACCATAGCCAGAGAATAAGAAATGTGTTATCGCAAAGGGCTTGTACAACATGAGCTGTGCAGTTAATTCATTCATCCATCCATCCATTTCCAATATCACTGATCCTGTTCAGGGTCACAGACAGGGTCCTGGAGCCTATCATGGCTGGCTTCGGGCGCAAGGCGGACTAAACCCTGGACTGGCCGTCAGCCAGGCGCAGAGCACATATAGAAATGGACAACTACTCACGCTCACATTCACACCGTCACTGAGATGGAACTGAACCCACACTGTCTGCATCCGAGTCAGGTGAATGTACCACTCCGTCAAGAGTGACCAATGCAATTAATTAGACCATCAATTACACACGATCATGTTAATTTGACAGAGTGAAATGTATATAGCTAATGACCAAAGTGAAAATGAGGATCAGGTTTTTGCTGCATTTTTTCCCTCCTGTTTTCAAAAGGTGTGATAGTTTTGCTATATTTTTGTTTTATTGATCAATTTCACTTCTACAGCTTTTTTTGTGATGTCACCACAGAAAGTGTCATGATAACAACCACAGCCCCAGCACAACATGAGCAATACAATTAGTTGTATGATAATCAACCAACAATAATTAATTTGAACAAGCAGATGGTGGCATAATTAGCATGTAGCACAATCAGAGACAAAAGGTAATAATTTGGACATTTTCACCACGCTGAAAACATGTTCCCCTTCTGTCTTTCAGATGTATTTAGTTTTATATTGACTTATAGGTGTTAGCTTCTCTTTGTATTTGACTGTTGAAATGCACGTTTTAATTACTGCATATTTATTAAATATTTTCATAAGCTTCTGATTCTTTGGGAGGACCAATTGTGGTAATGATGTTTTGATTAAATAAACGTACGCGGAGCAGAAAAACGGGCAGTGAATTAATCTCCCACAAAGACATACGATCTCGATTTAGAATTGAGCGAGCGGTTTGATTAATTTATTGCGGATGGCAAAAAAAAGTGATTGGTGAGTGATGCCTGCGGCTGCGGGTAAGTCCAATCTGACACAGGACTTGGAAATAACATTGAGAAGACAAATGAGGGACTTATTAAACTGCCCTTTGTTCCAGACTTGTTCTCTTGTGCCAACTACTGCTGCAACAAAAAACCCAACTCAAATCTGCATAAATATTTAATACAGAAATACGGTTTCTGTTAAGCATGAAAGAAGACTAAAATTTATGTTACTTGAGTGCTTCATTCTGGGCTTGTTGCTTCTTTTCTGAGCTTGGGTGAGCCGCTTCGCTGAATCCCACATGGGCTTTCTCGGGACTCGAGGAGGACAACAGCTTGGCCGGAGATGAGAGGCATCTTGGCTCGGATGTCGTCTTGTGACGGGAACTGTGGAGGTCCATTACAATCTTTCATTATGATGGGCTTCATTTTAAACATCGACATTCGCTACAATACATTTTTGCAAGATAAAATACTCTCCTATGTAGTTAAAAAAATACAATAACATAAATTCGCTAATAAAAGTAAGGCTACTTTTTTTTTTATATAAATCCTGTTTGCAACCATTCATTATGTCTTGGTGTCCCTAATAAAGTGTCCAGTGAGTCTAGCCAAAAGGATATAAAATGCCTTTTAGAGCAGTTCAAGAACATCCTGAGAGTGTAAGTATAACTTCAACGCTACACAGATTCCATAATCATCACATATTACAGGAATAGACAGCAAAGAGGCTCACCGTGGCGGCGAGAGAGAACACGACGCCGGTATCCACGGCACAGACGGCTCCCTGTGAGGAAACTCATTGACTCGGAGGCGAGAGGAAACTGTGGGTTCTTTGAAATGTGCGTCCTCCTTCCCAAAATTGCCCTAACAGGACATAAACCATTTCATATGCTGCGTGTCAGCGTGGGATAATTGTGACATTTACAATTCCAATAAACACCTTCACTTTTGGAGCCTGGTGATTTTTTTTGCCAGGGGAGTTTCTCTTGAACTGTTGCGGCGCCCCCTGCAGGCCAACCGGCTTGTCCAGTCCACGCCGCTTCTGCATCGCCATTCTCCGAACTGCCAACATAACAAATGGTTGACAATAAATAAGCGGGGTGCCTAAATTAATTTGGGGCAGGAGTACCTTTGAAATTATAGTTAGGGATATCAGCAATTGAAACAAACAAAAACGATCCCACGCCAAAAGATTGAATTTGGAGTTCAACCTAAACATTCTGGAAAAAGATGCCTCAAAATTTAAACCTTGCATACATGTCAGCAAATCATGTTTGACTTCAGCGCCTTGGGCATTTAAACCAGTTTTTCAACCTTATTGAGACAAAGTGCACATTTCACATTTGTAAAATCTCATGGCACAGCACTAAACAAAAATGTTAACATATTCCCAGGGGAAAAAAATCTACTACAGGTCAATTTTAAAAAATATAAAAAAAAAAAAAAAAATTAAAAGTTTTTAATTTGTACAAATGCACTTAAAGATATTTTTAAATCAATGAAAAATGCCCAGAAACACTATTGAATTAAACACAATTACATAAATCCAAAATGTATTACATTTTTAAAACCTCATTAAATGAACAGAAATTCCATTAAATAATTACAAACTTGACCATAACATAATTTTTAACCGCTACGTTTGGAAATTCATGATAATAAACACCGAATAGAGTCAATGATTATTTTACATTTTAATATTTATTTCTTATTTTATCGAATTTATTGAATTTAAACGTCTTTATATTCCTTCAATTTTGGCACCCAGCTGCAGTGCACAAGTTCAGTGAGCTCTCACCATGGCTACTTCTCGGTGGATTGCTGGCCTTCGGGGGTCCGTGAGCCACACCACTTCCCCTAGGTGCTTTGATGGCGGGCAACATCCTGGGATAAGTGGACGACTTCTTCTGTGAAGGACAAGCTGGATCTTGCAAGGCTTGCTGTAAACCTTGCATACATGTCAGCAAATCATGTTTGACTTCAGCGCCTTGGGCATTTAAACCAGTTTTTCAACCTTATTGAGACAAAGTGCACATTTCACATTTGTAAAATCTCATGGCACAGCACTAAACAAAAATGTTAACATATTCCCAGGGGAAAAAAATCTACTACAGGTCAATTTTAAAAAATATAAAAAAAAAAAAAAAAAATTAAAAGTTTTTAATTTGTACAAATGCACTTAAAGATATTTTTAAATCAATGAAAAATGCCCAGAAACACTATTGAATTAAACACAATTACATAAATCCAAAATGTATTACATTTTTAAAACCTCATTAAATGAACAGAAATTCCATTAAATAATTACAAACTTGACCATAACATAATTTTTAACCGCTACGTTTGGAAATTCATGATAATAAACACCGAATAGAGTCAATGATTATTTTACATTTTAATATTTATTTCTTATTTTATCGAATTTATTGAATTTAAACGTCTTTATATTCCTTCAATTTTGGCACCCAGCTGCAGTGCACAAGTTCAGTGAGCTCTCACCATGGCTACTTCTCGGTGGATTGCTGGCCTTCGGGGGTCCGTGAGCCACACCACTTCCCCTAGGTGCTTTGATGGCGGGCAACATCCTGGGATAAGTGGACGACTTCTTCTGTGAAGGACAAGCTGGATCTTGCAAGGCTTGCTGTAATTTGTGTTTGCTGATGGCATAGTCCAAAATCTAATGGGAGACATAATCGTCAAGTGCACCTGCCTGTGATGTGACACCATCATTTATACGTTCATATTTCCTTCACCTCTAATTCACGCAGGATTTCGCGAGACATCTCTGGCATGGGCGAGCCCGGCTCCACTTGTATCCTGGCTGAGCACAGGGAGAGCTGGCAAATGAGCCGGCTCAGTTCTGCACAATGAGGTGGCAGTTTGCTATGACGCTGTTCGGCAAGTTGGCAGTTGACCACCTGCAAAGCTTTCAGGGTGCCACGATGGGCACCTGCAAGACGCTGGATGGCTGTAGACTGTGTGATTAAAAACATCACAGAGGTTGATGTTGACCATTTTCATACCTGATGCTTAGAGTTCTATTGATATTACTGGTACTCTTAAAACAAACCTTTTTATCATCCCACATGCTCTGGTTGTGAAGCTTCTCAATGTACTGTTGTGTCGCTTTGATCTGAAGGAAAAAAAAACAAAACTAAATGTTATTCTAGGGACCCAAAATTATCTTTTTGAGTTTATGAATAGCCAAACTGAAGTACCTGCTGGTGGAGAGCGTAGATGATCCGTGACGAGCGCTCGGACTGCTTCTGCCAGCGTACCTCCAGCTTCTCCTGCTCACCGGGTTCCAGATCTTCCGCCACATTGTGCTCATTTTTAACATATGAAATGTCTCTGATAGACAGTTTCTCCACTTGCTGGATGAAGTTTTCTAGCTCGGCGTGAAGCTTGTGCATCTCTTGGCCTAAGAGATCCAGCTGGCTCACGGACCCCGATGGCTTCAAAAACACACCATGATCCCAATTACAAGATGTAATGGCATTAGCGTGCATCAGTACTTGGTATCAGTGAGTAATGAAATGCTACTTAGACTCGTATTTGGTCTAAAATAAATTGGTATTGCTGTATCCCAACAATTAATAGTGTCTGAGAGGAGTAATTCCATTCATGACATGACAAGTACTTGGCACAAGAATGTGCCTTTTTTGGGTTTTTTTTTTTATTCTCTAGATAAAAAAAAGTAACAATGTAGTAAATACCTGTATTAATGCACTCTCAGAGTTCTTTTGCAGCTTCAATATCTCCTGTCTCAGGAGATCCTCCTGGTCTGGGAAATCTGATGTCCTGAGAATCATATGTCCTGTTGAGGGGGGCTGATGAATGTGGACCCTGGATGTCATGGGGGGCTTCTTGGCCACGTCCTGTTGCTGTCTGGCTCCAAGTGAGTTTACCTCTGGATCCAGGCCCTGCAAAGAAAGAGGTCATATGGGACTTAACACACAATGGAATGGATAAACCAAAATAAATGTAGGTATCAAGTACCTTTTTTAGACTTTCAAGTTCATTCTGAAGCTTGCGGACCTCCTGCCTTAAGAGATCGTGCTGGTTTGCACCTACTACCGGCCTTGTTGAGGTGGCTGGATGGCCTTTTTGCTTGGAATGCGCGGGATGCCTCTTTGAAGCGGGCTGTTTGGATCCAGATCTCGCCAGTCTCTCTTTCAGACTCAGTTTGGTTGTCATCTTCCATGGGAAAGAAGAAATTACCAAGTCATGGCAAATCTTGCTACTTTTTTTCAGCAGTTCACTCTTGAGGCGCATATCTGAAGCTCGCTAAGTGACTCGAATATTTGCTTGCAAACATAAAACCAAACAAAACAAAACAAAAATCAACCAAGCAATGGCTTGGAACCTTGAAGACTCATAAGTTGAGGTTCAACTGTATTAATAGTTTAAAAATTAAATATACCAACTCGTATCCCCAAACAGTTTATTTCAAACTCATTTTACACAGTACACTTTAAAATAAATGGTGCACTTGACTTTGAAAAAAATACACCATAAGGGCAAGAGTACATGCACATGCGGTGAAAACTCTCCATAATTTCTGAACAACACAGGCTAAACATAGCACCTCCCCAACATAAAGCTTGTCACAATTACTACTTTCTTTTTTGCCAGGACATTGATACCATCTTGTGGCATCATGAGGCACAACAGAAAGAGCACAGAAACCAAAAAATGGGAAAGTTTTCTCATCAACGAGCTAAGGATAGGTTCCCCAGAAAAGAAAAACACAAATAGATTAATTTTGGAATAGCAAACAACGAGTAGGTGGGGATTCACTACACTGTACACTGTTTATTCACATTAATTACCTGAGGCAGCGTACTATTGCAAATGTCCACCACGGAAGCATCTCCCAAAGAGTCTGTCGACGGCCTGCACATGGCTTGGAAACGTCTCCGCCTCAGATCCCTCTTGGCTAGGTCTACCGCAGCTTGCAGCTTTTCCTCGGAGAGACTGCTAAAGCCGAGCGAGGTTTTAACACTGCTGTCCACGTCCTTCTGCCGCTCACCTGGCGGTAGCGGGAGTAGCTTCTCAATGACTATGGCGGCCGGAGGACCCACAGCTGTGGCGCGGTTCCTGAAGCTGGCGGCCACAGCTTCATTGAACAGCAGCTGAGTAAAAAGGGACATAGCATGGAAAATCTTACATTTAAATTTTTGTAAACTAATAGTGTGCCTTCCTTACCCATCACATGTGAAATTTAACACCCAAGTGCATCTTCAGTTATCTGCGTATTTCTGAAAATGTTATCAGGCCTAGTGACTGGTCACAATAATTATTGTGTAAGCTTTAATTAACCATTTGAATAAGTAAACTTTTGTGACAGCTCATCGGGTGTGCTACTACGAATTATGGTCTGAAAGTTATTTATAGGATCATACATTTATGCCAAAGACTAATCGTGACAGGCACAGCAAGCAGATTATATTCAATTAGATAGTAAAAAGAATTAACCGCTGTTGCCATTGATACAAAAGAATGAGACAAGGCAATCACACAGTGAGTAAATCGAGATCATTACTATTTCAGTATGTATATATTCTGAGAGACATTTTTCTAATGTGTTGAAATGCCTTGGCTCAAGAAAAATTGGGAAAGACTGGACTGACAACAGGACAATGAGGATAAGAAATCATAGTTTACCTTGGTTTGGGATGTTGCAGTGTATAAATAGCCACCGTTGTGGGTGTTTCGGTTTGAAGCCAAAACAACCCATTCCCTACCATTAGTTTGCTGTCCAGTGGAAATCATCGCGGCGATTATAGTTTAAAAATGAATTCATAACAGCGGGAAGGACCGGCATGTCGGGTCAAATTAGCATAAAAATCGCAAACATCGTATTTTGTTGGACGTTTCCGTCCAATAATTAATAAAAACCAAATGCCGATGCTTTGATGAAACCTTGATATGTATAGTTTCTGTGCTTGAGTAATGATTTAAAAATCCAAATTTAAAGTTGTTCAAACCACTCCGTGATTAAAACAAAAAAAAAATAAACCTGTACCGCCATGACAACGAATCGTCGTTGACAGGAAGTACGAAGTACGGAAAGCGAAAGAGCTAAAATGGTACTGGAGTAACTTTTACAGAATTGTAAGTACAGCACCACTGACAGCAGTACATAACATACGATTTTTACAACAATAATGCATTCTTCCCCGTAAATAGCTCTATTTCCACAGCTCTGAGCAAAGTGATCTCAGCTGTAAGACAAAGAGCTTATAAGTTATAAGAATCGCTTTTACAAAAAAAATTAATGAATGGGTTTACGTAGCCACATAACGTATGAATTACCTTCTTATCAAATTTTAATTGATATTTGAAAACGATAATGACTTTGTTACCAACAACAACACGAACAATGAGGTACGCGTCTCTACTCCGGAAGTGCTCCTGTGGCCTTTTTTGCAACTTGACATAAAATGTTCCTGTCTTGGGAAATGCTATGTCAGCACAGCACAAACCGTAGGCGCCAGTTCTATCTTAACTTATCTCCAAGCTACTGTTTTCGCCGAACCGAACCATGGCCCAGTACGAACAAGTGAACGTGCGTGGCTATAGTGAATTCTGCAAGGCTGTGGCAGACAGACCGGGCAAAGATATTTTTGCGTACTTCTCTGGCGACAAAGACGAGAAAGGCAATAGCTGGTGTCCAGACTGTGTCAGAGGTAAATGTTTATTATGTCGCAACCTGGAATAATACTTTTACAATGATGTTGCTCCAAAGGTCGGTCCCTCTTTGAATACTTTGTGTTTCCTATGTTCATAACGGTTCCCCAATTTTTGCCTGCAGCTGAGCCGATTATAAAGGGAGCAATGAGCTCACTCCCCCAGGGCTCGGTCTTCATCTACTGTCAAGTTGGTGAAAGGAACTAGTCAGTATATCTGTTTTTTTTCTTCTCTGTACAATTTTCCTAAATATGAGGCGCTCTGATGTGCAAATGTGCAACAAGCTTCAGTCTCAAATAAATGGCCATATTCTCAAGAATAGAAAATGACCTTGTTGACCTCTTCTTACAGCCAATAAATATAAATGATGAGAATAAAAGAGATGCATGTGGGTTTTTTTTCCACATTCAGCAAGTCAGGGTTAGAATTACAAAAGGAGGGTGTTGACATCAAATTAGGGTATCAAATCTGGGTGAGGGATTCAAAGTTTTACAAACACAGGTACTGCAAGAAGGTTAATACGAACGTTTTAAGCCAAGTTGACAAAGTCACAGTAGTGCTTCAAGTCTAGATCAGGATTTGAAAATACAGTTTCAAATTCAAGTTAAGATTTTATGTTTGGATTAATGTTTGAAATTAGGGCTTCAAGACGGCCTTATGGTTTGAGAACAGTTTACGTGTTTAAAATAAGGTTTCAAGCCAAGGTTAAGGTTTTCAGTCGGATTACGAGCCTGGGTAGGGATTCAAGTCGGATTTCAAGCCCAGGATATGATTATTATGCTGCTTGTTTTCAATGCAGTTGGAAGGATTCAAGCAATGAGTTCAAGACAACGCTCAAGCTGATTGGGGTGCCCACCCTTCTGCGATACAACACCGTAAGAAACACACACACACACAAACACACACACGTACTTTAGTCACATATTTCGTGTGTCTCTGTGTGATTTTTCAGCCTCAGAAACTGGTGGAGGAGGAATGCTTCAAAGAGGATCTAGTGAGGATGATGTTCACTGAAGACTGAGAGACATGTGCCTTCAGCCACTGTCGGTTGGATCAAGAAACACAATAAAACACTTCTTAATCACACTCAATATAGTGACAATGTAATGCAAAAGCATTATATTATAATTATCCATGTTAATATCTTGTAGTAGCATTGAATAAAGTCATGCCTGATCATGCAGCTATTGGTCACTTTCTTTAAATTAAAATTACAATTTAAGAACATATCAATGGACATCATTCTGTATTTCAACAGGTTAATAATGATGAGAAAAGTAATCAAATTAAGCATGACAGTAGCGCTCTAGAACACTTTCATTAAATTTATCAATATTATTAATGTATGTATAGCAATGTGATTAAATACTAAAATGTAATAGAATTTCTCATTCATATATAGAACTAAACACTACGTTGAAATCATATGAATACATTTATTTATTTATTTATGGATGTATTTATTTAAATGTATGTGTGGCATGGTCGGTCAATTCTGCCTCACAGTACAAAGGTCAGGGGTTCGATTCAAGGCTTTGGCCTTCCCGTGTGGAGTTTGCATGTTCTGCGTGGGTTTTCTACGCGTGCTCCGATTTCCTCCCACAGTCCGAAAACCTGCATAGTAGGTTGATTGAACGCTCTAAATCGTCCATACGTGTGATTGTAAGCGCGAATGGCTCTTTGTCTATGTGTCCCTTGAGATTGGCAGGCAACCAGTTCAGGGTGTACCCCGAAGACTGCTGGGATAGGCTCAGAGATATGTCATAGTATTTCTATATTTTAAAAAGTAGAACTAGATGTATTTAATTTATGTCATTGTTAATTTCAAATGGCCTACTCCGTGTAGGTGTCTTCTGTGACCACTAGATGGCAAGGTATCATCGCGGATTATGAGTACGTTCACCTCCTGAACAATAAAAACTATATAATGTATACAGTACTGTATTTTGTGGTTGTTTACGGCAAAAAAAGACGACATAGGTGACACGAAAATAACGTAAGTGGATGTTTTTAAAGGCTATAACAAAACTATTTTGAGCATGTATTGCGTGTGAAGTTGTTTTATTATCGACCGTCACGTGACCGGAAGTCTTGTGAGTGGAGAAGAACCGCGCAGCCGCAGCTGTGCAGTCAAATTGCACGATACCGCCAATCTCATCGATAGTGATTACAATATCTTTCTGACGAGTAACGAACGCCTCACCAAAGTCCAAAATTAAAATAAAATGCATGTAATTAAATGGCATGAAGTGTAGACAACTAAATAATTTCAAATACTTGTTTTATATGCTTAATTAAATGAAATATTGACATAATTTTGAACTACATCAAGACTACAATGAATGTTATCGACATTTGTATTAATCTACTCCTTACTACGGGAAATGGCTGACTCACTGTGCGCTCCAAAATTAGACAATTTTGAGCCAGGATTATTGTTTAAACGGAGATTGGGTTTATAGTGAAATAATAGTGAGAGATATAACAAATGCCCTTTCATGTCAAATTCAGACTCGTAGAAACAATACTGAGATAGAGCTTGCGATTAAAAGCTATGGACAACCTAGGGTGTTCAATAAATTTAAATTGCACGTTTTAGGAATTTGGGAGAGGCTGGAGTACCTGCTGACCAGTTTTTAGACATTTAGGCCATTGATGGTTAAATCGGCCACTGTCATGAAGTTTGACAAATGTAAATAATACCCTCAAATGAATCAATAAAGACTGACAAATGAACTAAATGTCGGCATTTTATAAATTACTGATTTTAGTATCATGCAATTGGCTGGCAACCAATTCAGGGTGCTGCCGGAAAACAGCTGGGATAGGCTCCAGTACGCCCGTGACCCTAGTGAGGATAAGCAAATTGGACAATGGATGTATGGATGGATTTTAGTAGCAAGGTATCCTCACACTCAAGAGGTTGTGGGTTCGATCCCGGCTCCGGCCTCCCTGTGTGGAGTTTGCATGTTCTCCCCGTGCCTGCGGGGGTTTTCTCCGGGTACTCCGGTTTCCTCTCACATTCCAAAAACGTACCTGGCACGTTAATGGAACACTCTAAATTGTCCCTGGTGTGATTGTGAGCGCAGATGGTTGTTGTTCTTGTGTGCCCTGCGATTGGCTGGCAACCGGTTCAGAGTGTCCCCCCGCCTACTGCCGGAAGACAGCTGGGATAGGCTCCAACACCCCCGCGACCCTTGTGAGGATAAAGATTGATGGATGGATCAGAAAAGTGATGGTTGGGTGGATGGATAATAATCATCATAAGAAGAAGAAGTAATTCAATATTAATAATTTGTAATGGGTATTTATTTGAAAATTAACCTACATTACCAGCAAGGTGTGAAACGTTCCCGTAACTGAATTTAGAATAAACAATAATTATAACAAGTATTGTTCTTTCTCTAGCCATGGGAATCTAATGTATTGTAATTTTGAGTACGGGATATCGACACCTAGTATCGATTTTGCCACATTACTAACGAGACGCATTTAAGTGCAGCACATTCCTGTGCACGGCGCCCGCGGACCAAGAGTCACAGGCGGTGGAGATTCACCGCGACGCCTCGCTCGCAGGGGGCCGGGAGGAGCTCACCCCAAAGACAAAACTCACCTCGGACCGCTTGAGCAAGGCGGGGGGGATCGTCAGCCACTTATCCGTGGTTTGGGGGCCAGGGGAGCGGAGATGTCGGAGCTTCTGCTGAACGTGCTCGGGGAGCGGCTCGTCAACCGCGAGAAAGCCGAAGTGGACGTGCAGGCGCTGGGCGAGCGGGTGTCGCTGCTCGGCCTGTTCTTTGGCTGCGGCCTGAACGCGCCGTGTCGGCAGTTCAACGGCAGCCTGTGCGACTTCTACGGCCGCTTCAAGCAGACTTCGGAACACCGAGACAAGCTGGAGGTAGTGTTCGTCTCCTCGGACCAGGAGCAGAAGCAGTGGCAGGACTTTCTGCAGGAGATGCCCTGGCCCGCCTTGCCCTTCAAAGACAGACACAAAAAGGTAAGAAGTTGTACATTTACACGCATAGGTGCTATCATTTGGATGTCCCATTTCCAAAATGTCTTCTCTCCCCCCTTGTCTAATTAAAACTTCTCCAATTCATTTCGAAACAAGAAACATTGAAGAGCTCAGATTTCTTCTTCTCCCCCACCATCAAGTGTATGTTCTTTATATTTTGTCGTCATTCATTTAACTATATATGTATATGTATGTGTGTGTGTGTGTGTGTGTGTGTGTGTGTGTGCTGTATATATTGTGTGGAACTTTGGTTAGGTACACTAAGCACTCAGCTACAGTAGTTCATTGACCTGCATATATTATATATATATATATATATATTTTTTTTTTTTTTTTTTGAAAAATGCAATGGTTACTCCTTTGTTCACTGACTAGAAACAAGCAATTACAGTTTACTTCAATTGAATCTAAATAAAATTATAAATAAATAATAAACTAAACTGCCATAATGACAACAAAGAGAGAAAAGGAGGCCATCATATGCTCAAATGCAACAAGGCCCATACAAATTTTTTTTTACTATTTACCCTAAAGGATTACATCATCGAATTAAAAAAAAGATACTTTATTATATGTAAATGCTAGTATAGCTGAAACACATTTATATCAAATCCTTGAACTGTCCTTTTTCCAATGTCAGGTATGAGTGGTAGAAGTAGGAACTGTGTGTATTTTTAGCTGATCCTTATTTTTTATATACAGTTAAATTATATGTTTTTTATTAAGTCTATCTTCCCTTATCTGACACTGCAGAGTTGTTAAGTCATTGTTGTGTTATTGTTTGACTTGGAAGCAGTAGCACCTCCACCACCACTGACTTGTTATTGAATTTGTGAGAAATATCTGGCTTTTCGATAAAGGAATCATTATAGAAGGATGGAGACGGTCTCCTCCTGGACTCAAACAATGTCCGCTTCATACATAACCATGCATCGCTGTGTGCGTGTGTGTGTGCGTGTGTGTGCGTGTGTGTGTGTGTGTGTGTGTGTGTGTGTGTTTAAGTTGCCTTTGTTGTAAACAAATGGAGCAGTCAGCAGTATTTCAAACATGAGACATGTCCACAGCATGTGGTACATCAATTTCAACCCCCTTCATCAACATACATTATGCACATTACATTTAGAATGCATTTTGTTGAAATGCATTTGTGCTTCGTGTGTGTGATTTTTAGTTCTCTCTGCAGCATTGCAGCCCACCAGTTAAGGCCATATCTTTTTATATTTAAAAAAAAAAAAACTTTCATACTTGGAGTTTTTAATCATCTGTACTTGACTTTATATGGATATTTTAAAATATAATACATTGAGTATGTTAATTACACATTTGTATGTTATTTTAAAAATGCATTAAAACATGTATGGCCATTTAAAATGTGTACATTTAAAAAAAACACTTTTTTATTTCATACGAGAAAAATCAGTAACTTCTTTGGAGTTTTTTGAAACTTAGTTTTTGTGAAAATACAGATTTTTTTCACATATATTGTTTTCAAATGCAATTATTACAAAAAATGTTTTATAATGTAATGTAATTATTATTAAACTGTCGACATCATTTTTACTTTGTATGTACTTTTTTAAACTTACAGCATTTTTTCAATTTTATTTGTCATTTTTGTGAGTGTAATAAAATCGTTCATTTAACTTTTGTTACAGTAGTTTCTTGCTTTAAAAATTGTTTTTTTACTATTTAAAAAAGGACTAATATTTTTCAAGCCTCTATTTGATTTGTTTGTTAGATTTTTTTGAATAAAACTAATAATGAAAGAGTAGTTTCTGTTATATTTGATATACATTATACTTCATTGAAACTAATTTATTTAATTTTATTTTGTTTTATTTTTTTGCTTCTGTAAAAAAGTATTATCCTGAATGAATGAAGATAATATAAGGGTGGCACGGTGATTGACTGGTTAGCACGTCCGCCCCACAGTGCGGAGGTGCAGGCTTTGATTCCTGTGTGGAGTTTGCAAGTCACCCCATGCGTGCCTGCGTGAGTTTTCTCCGGGTACTCCAGTTTCCTCCCACATTCCAAAAACATACGTGGCAGGTTAATGGAACACTCTATATTGTCCCCAGGTGTGATTGTGAGCGTGAATGTTTGTTCGTCTCTGTGTGCCTTGAGATCGGCTGGCAACCAGTTCAGGGTGTACCCCGGCTACTGCGCGAAGACAGCTGGGATAGGCTCCAGCAAACCCGCGACCCTCTTGGAGATAAGTGGTTTCGTATAATATAATAGAATGTAATATAATATATTTTATAATTTATTTTGGTGTGTTTATCGCCAAATGTCCATATATGGTCATTTGTGTAAAATTCAAGATGGAAGTCTCCATTTCGGCAGTACTCTAGTGCAAGTTAAGATAAGATAAGAAGATAAGAAAACCTTTATTTGTCTCACAATGGAAAAATTCCCAATGGAGAAATTCCCAATTTACAGTAGCAAAATTATGAAAGGGAGAAGTAGAAGAACAAAACGTATATACATGAATATAAATGATAAAATATAGATAGAAGCATATTAAAAATGGGTGGGTGGGGGTGAGTCCAGGTTTTCAGGTCTGTCTTCTCAATAGCCTGACAGCAGTGCAATAAAATAAAGTGTGTGCTATTAACAGAACCAGTCTGAGGTTGCTGTTGTTGACCCAATGGTCATGTGACCACCTCAGGCCTCCAGCCAGAATCTCCTTGTTTTCTGCAGCTCAGCTCCAGCGCAGTGATTTGTCTTCTATTGTTCACACCAGCGCCCAGCACCCCCCTTTTGGAATCCCACACTGTACCTCCTCTTCCTGCTGTGGGTCCTGCCCTCACTATCTCCGCCCCCCTCGCCCCCTGGAAGGTTATCTGGGGTTATCCATCCAAGCCTTCCCACTGCAGGAAACATTAGTCATTCAGTATGTTTACATGCAGTGAAGAAAATCGTACTCATGCACCGATTGAGACCAGGTTTAAAAATGCATTTCAACTGGGACGTGGCACCATGAGATTGGTAAGCATGTGCATCATGAGTGGGTCGACATCAAGGTTTCAAAAAGCCACGTGTGAAACCACACAGGAAGTCAGCCTTTTTGTTTGAAGTTGCCAAATTAGCATCATTTTGGCCATTTCCTAGGGTCCTTCACAGATTGACTCAACAGAGAAAGTGATTTTGTCCAATCGCTTTCAAATATGACACATGTTCATACTAGGAAGATGGATAATGCCAAATTATGAGGGATTTTTGTCATTGTATGTGGAGCAGTCTAATTTGATGACTCGTCATGAAATTTGAAACTGGCTCATGAGTTAAAAAAAAAAAAAAAAAAAGATCCCCTGAAACCTGTTTGACGAAGCAACATGAAGTTTGGAAGACATATGTATGATGAGTAAGCCCACAAAAAAGTTTGAAGAAGCCATGATTAAAAACACACGAAGTTAGCCATTTTGGTTGGCACTGGGAAAGAATGTGAATCCACCGCACCAGGAGAAGCATTTTAAAACGGTACACATATGTACGATAGTTTTCTATCCTTAACACGCTGGAAAAGTGTCAGGTCTCTACTAAGGTAGATAGTGATTTCCTGTTCGCAAACTATTGTATCTATTTTTTTTTCCTGTTTCTTTCATGTTAGGAGCCATTATGGCTGTTGCTCATCATGGCATGTGTACATATGTGCGCGTAGGGTAATGGTTTGATCATGGGGGGTTGGTTGCTTGAAAAGTAGATCTTTGGTCAAAAAAGGTGTGGCACCCCGTGGAGTAGAGATTTCGTCTGATTGCTACCAAATTTAAACCACATGTACAGTACAGCGTGAAAACTAAATTGAACTTGGGAGGATCTGGATTTTTCAATGTTTGTGGGCCGAGCATGGCAACAAAGTTTGACGACTTTCCATAGAAGATGAAACAAGTGCTTGAATTTTTTTTTTCTAATTCAGACCCCAAAATCAGTTTGACATGCCAACATGAACTTTGGTTGACATTTCTATCATGAATAGACTTACAAAAAAAAAATCTCAATAAGCTATGCCCGAAAACACACAAAGTCTGCCATTTTGGTTTTTAAATGTCCATTTTTGGGACTCTTTCGAAAACAAAACTGTCCAGCAGATTTTGCTACCAAATTTGACCCACGTATGCTAGTCAGATGTGTGACAACATTGTTGTCATTAGAGAGAGCGGGAAAAGCTGTTTGCTTGCTGGCGCTGTCTTGACATGATGGATTCATTCTTTTGGAGTGTCACATGTGAATCAATGAGAAGCCGCGGCCAATGGAACGGCTGCTGCAGTTGGTGCTTTCATCTGGGCATTCAGCAAAAGAAAGGGAGCTCTTGTTCGAGTTTGGCCCACTGGACGTGCATTGTGCGGGCACAAGCAACGGCCCGCATGGGACCATCATGGGGGCTCAAGGAGGGCCAAGTGCACTGCAGCATGGCCACAGTGCCCGAGTAGAAGCGGCTCTAGTTTGTATGTTTGTTATAAAAAAAGCAGATAATAATCCAGTCAAAAATAACTTCACTGTTTTTCTTGGTCATTATTTTTATAAAACACACACACGCACACACTGCTTTCTTATGCACATTTGAGTTTGCATCAGTGAATGTAGCCATGTAGCATGAGATAAACTGACGCCTTTGCAGAATCCAAATGGTTTAATGTAAATGTTCCTCGTGTGTGTGTGTGTGTGTGTGTGTGTGTGTGTGTGTGTGTGTGTGTGTGTGTGTGTGTGTGTGCGTGCGTGCGTGTGCGTGCGCGTGCGTGTGTGTGGTCCAGATAACTTCATTCTCTGGGTTAGCCTTGCGTGAGCTAATGCAGTAAACAGCTGAAGATGCGCTAACAAGAAGTCTATTTTTTTTTTTTCCAGATGACTGGCTGATGTGTCATTCAATGAATGCTTTGGCTCCTTTTGCCAGTGTTTTGTGGTAACTGCCACAGTGCACAATTGAAATCGGCAGAATGGCATGACGTAATCCACTGAGGAAAACAAATCGGTGCCACACAGGA